AAGAATAAAAGAGAAATAAATCAATGAAACGAATAGCTGATTCTTTGAGAAAATAAACAAAACAGATAAACCCCAGCCAGACTTATAAAGAAAGAGAGGACACAAACAAAATCAGAAAGAGGAAGAGTTACAATGATTACCACAAAAACACCAAGAATTATTAGTGAATTCTATGAGAAATTATATGTCAATAAATTGGACTACCTAGAAGAAATGGACAAATTCATAGAAAAATATAATTTTCCAAGATTGACCCAGAAGAAATAAAATCTGAGCAGTCCGTGTACCAACAATGGCACTGAATTGATAATCAAAAACTCCCAACAAACCAAAGACCAGACCAGATGGCTTCATAGATGAATTCTGTCAAACATTTAAAGAGCTAATATCCATCCTTCTTAAAATATTCTAAAAAGTAGGAGGGAATACTTCCAAACTCATTCTATGAGGACAGCATCATCTAATACCAAAACCAGACAAAGAACACTACAAAAAAAGAAAATTGAAAATTATACACCAATGACCCTGATAAGCACAGATGCAAAAATCCTCAACAAAATATTAGCAAAACAAATTTAAAAATACATCAAAAGGATTATCCATTATGACTAAGTGGGATTTATTCCAGGGATGCAAGGATGTACAATATTCATAAATCAAGCACCATCATACACTTTAGAAAAAAGGATAAAAACCACATGATCATTTCCATAGATGCTGAAAAAGCATTTAACAAAATTCAGAATCCATTCATGATAAAAATTCCTCATAGAATAGGTTTAGAGGGAACATACCTCAACATAATAAAGGCTGTGATAATATATGACAACCAACAGCTAACATCATATTCAATGGTAAAAAGCTGACAGCTTTTCCTCTATGATCAGGAATAAGGATGTCCACTCTCACTATTTTTATTCAAAATATTACCAGAAGTCCTAGCCACAGAGATAAAAGACATCCAAATTGGTAAAGAAGTTAATCTGTCACTGTTTAGATGACATGATATTATACATAGAAAACCCTGAAATCTCCACCTAAAATATATTAGAAGAACCGAATTCAGCAAAGTTGTAGGATACAAAATTAATACACAGAAATCTGTTGTGTTCCTATATACTAATAATGAACTAGCAGAAGGAGAAATCAGGAAAACAATTCCATTTACAATTGCATCAAAAAATAATAAAATGACTAGGAATAAACCTAACCAAGGAGGTGAAAGACCTGTATGTACTCTGAAAACCATAAGATATAAATGAGAGAAATTAAAGAAGACACCAATAAATGGAAATGTATCCCATACTCATAGATAGGAAGAATTAATATTGTCAAAATGGCCAACCTGCCCAAAGAAGTTTACAGATTCAATGAAATCCCTATCAAAATATCAATGGCACTTTTCAAAGAACTAGAACAAATAATTCTGTAATTCATATGGAACCACAAAAGACCCTGAATAGGCAAAGCAATCCAGAGAAGGAAGAACAAAGCTGGGGGAATCATGTTGCCTGATTTCAAGCTCTACTATGAAGCTACAGTAATCAAAACAGTATGGTACTGGAACAAGAACAGACCCAGAGATCAATGGAACAGAATACAGCCCACATATAAACCCATGAATATGGTCAATTAATATACAATAAAGAAGCCAATGTAATAATATACAATGGGAAAAGACAGCCTCTTCAATAACTAGTGTTGGGAAACCTGGACAGCTACATGCAGGAGAATAAAGGTGAATTACAGTCTAACGCCATACAAAAAAACTAAACTTGAAATGGATTAAAGACCTGAAACCATAAAATTCTTAGAAGAAAACACTCAAAAACTTCTTGAAGATAAGCATGAGTAATTTTTTCCTGGACACATGTCCTCAGGCAAGGGAAACAAAAAATGAACAAGTGGGACTCCATCAAACCAAAAAGCTTCTGCACAGGTAAGGACACCATTGGCAGAATAAAAAGGGATCCTACAGTGTGGGAGAATATATTCATAAACAACTCATCTGATAAGGGGTTAACATCCAAAATATATGAAGAACTCATACGTCTCAACACCCAAAAAGTAATTACCCCATTAGGAAATGGGCAGAGACCCTGAACAGACACTTCTCCAAAGACGAAATACAGACGGCCAACAGGCACATGAAAAGATACTCACTCCACATTGCTAATCATCAGGAAAATGCAAATCAAAACTGCAATAAGATATCACCTCACACCAGTTATAATTGCCACTACCCAAAAAAAACAATAAGTAACAAGTGCTGGCAAAGATGTGGAGAATTGGGAACCCTACTACAGTGTTGGTAAGAATGGAAATTGTTACAACCACTGTGGAAAGCAGTATGGAGGTTTCTCAGAAAACTAAAAATAGAAATACCATTTGACCCAGTCATTCCACTTCTAGGAATTTACCTGAAGAAAACAAAATCCCTGCTTCAAATAGATATATGCACCCCTATGTTTACTGCAGCACTATTTACAATAGCCACGATATGGAAGCAACTTGTGTCCATCAGCAAATGAATGGATAAAGAAGATATGGTACATTACACAACAGAATATTTTTCAGCCATAAAAAAAAAACCCTGCCATTTGCAACAACATGGATGGATCTAGCAGGTATTATGCTAAGTGAAATAAGCCAGGTGGATAAAGACAAATATCTAATGATTTCACTTTTTTGTGGTATATAAAACAAAAACAAAATGAACGAAATAGTAGTAGACTCACAGACATTGAGAAGTGACTGGGTGACCATGGGGGAGGAGTTGGGGTGAGTAGGTGGGCAGGTGAAGGGTGTAAAGGTACAAAATCTCAATCATAATATAAGCTGGTCACAGTGATGGTAGTACAGCATGGAGAACATAGCCAGTGATTCTGTAACATCTTCCTATATTGACAGTAACTGCATTAGAAGGGGTGAGGATTTCATAATAGGGATAACTGTTGAACCCACTGTGCTGTATATTTGAAACCAATATAAGACTGTTTACCAACAATACTTCCAACTTTAAGAATGGGAATAATAATAACAGGTAGTAATAATTACCATCATTATTATTTCCAGGGACATCAAGGCAGCTGCTTCATGACCATTTGTGGTCATCACTTGCCCCACTCAATATAGAGGCAAAGCACGGTACCTGGTGAGAGGCTACTTATTATAGTACAAGTCAACAAAGCAAGGAGAGGGCTCAAGATAAAAGCCCTTGACGTTCAATGTGTAGCAAGTACAAGATAGACACTGACTTTAGTTGTGACTGAGAGTCAAGAAGATGGGTTATGATGCTGTCACCAACTAGCTCTGTAGAAGGGCCACTGCCATGGAATGCTTGTCCACTGCCCTGTTCAGTCCGCTGTAAGCAGCGTAGCAGAGAAGGCACTGTTGGAGGTTAAGCAGTGTCCCAAGCCCTGCCCCCACAAACCCAGGCACTCTACCTAGACAGCAGGCAGGCTGATAGATTGTTTCTTTTGGACCAGAATTTTTTAAAGTAACATATGCCTACAGTTCTTAAAAAAAAAATCACCCAGTACAAAAGGTGTAAATGCAGAAGTTAGCATTTCTATCACTCCCAAACCTTCAGGCAGATTATTTTCAGAAATAAGCAGTTATGTCTTACAGAGCCTTTCATACACATAAAAGAATATGTGCATATTTATTCCCAGATGGGATCATAAATGTTCTGAAACTCACTTTTTCCCTTTATTCATCCTGAATATTTTTGGATATCAGTATATGCAGATTTACCTCATTTTTAACAACTGCCTTATTCATCTAGATAATGTAATAGATAAGCACCCAGATCTGTATGGCTTGGCGTAATTCAAGTTTCTTATTTACCTAAATCCAGTAGGTAGTAGGCTGTGGGGGGAGGGGGGGTGGCTGGGGGGAGTTGTTCTGATCCTTAGCACTTATTCAGGGATGCAGGATGATCAAGGACCTGCCAACTTCAACATGTGACTTCCACACAATTGGTGGCTTGTAAGGTCACCCTGGGTGTTAACATCTAGCCAGCAGATGGGGAACAAGAGTGTGGAGAAAGGTGAGGTTTGCTTTAAATGACCCAGGCCTTCAAGTGACATGTATCATTTCTGTCCATATTCCATTGGCCAGAATTAGATTCCCTGCCTGCCCTAGACTGGTAGTAGGAAATGTCCTAGCTGGACAGCTGCCTCCTACAAGTCAACACTATGGAGGGGAGCACAAAGCTTTGATGGGCAGTTAGCTCTGCCACAGATGCACCGCAGGAATACATCTGCATTTATTTAAGCTTCAGAAGGCTGGTGTTCCTTTTCTTTCTTCTGCTTTTCTATTTTATTTTTATTTTTATTTTTTTTGTCAAAGGCAAGTTTTCGAAGTGTGGACAACTATTACCTGGTAAAAATGAAAAAATTAGAAAATGGACACCTCACCTATAGAATTACACAGGGGTTCAGACTTGGTGGGGGTAGGGAGGAGACACTATCGATGAAAACTTTTAAAGAATGCAGTCTAAGGATGTTTTCTGATGAATTAGCAGTTAACTGCTCACACTGTATGTAAGAGGATTATTTATAATAGTGACACACTGTAGGCAACCTAGATGCCCAATAATAGGGAGACCTGTTTAAATTGTGATATTCATATAAGTGATGACTACGCAGGTGTTTCAAGTAATTGCTAGATACCTGCAAACATAAATGTCCATGTTAGGATAAACATAAGACTCCTACTAAACAGTGTAAATAATTTTAAAAAATACATTACTTGCAGCAAAAAGGCTGGAGGACATAAACATATTTACATGTTTATGGTATTTATCCCAGGTAGAATAACTGTGGATGTTTTTCACTTTCTTCTTTCACACCTTTATGTAATGCCTCAGTGTTTTATCATTAGTGAAACTATTTTCAGCTTGAAATGAAAAACAAAAAATGCAGATAAACGGGATTGTGATTAAGTGATTGCAAACAAGTATGTGAACCAGACCTGGCGTCCCAGGCCCTGTCACCAGACACTCAAGTTGCTCTTGTGAGCACTTCTCTCTGTTGAGGTGACTGGCTTTTGTCCCTGCATCCCCCAGCTATAACGGGAAGAGAGGACAGGCCCCACAGCAGTCAGCAGCAGCCCCACAGGCCGCTGGTCTACATGGGGAACACCATCAGGACCCTCGCGGCCTTCATCCCTGCCGACCGCTGCCAGAACTACATGGTCAAAGAGTTCAGGGAGATGCCAATGGACAAGATGGTGGACCTGAGCGGGAGCCAGCTGCGCCGGTTCCCTGTGCTTGTGTGCTCCTTCCATGAGCTGGTCAAGCTCTACCTGAGCGACAACCACCTCAACAACCTGCCTCCGGAGCTGGAGCAGCTGCAGAACCTGCAGATTCTGGCCCTGGATTTCAACAACTTCAAGGTTCTGCCCCAGGTGGTGTGCACCCTGAAGAAGCTCTGCACCCTCTACCTGGGAAACAACAGACTCTCCCACCTCCCCTGGGAGCTGAGCCTGCTCCACAACCTCCGGACCCTCTGGCTGGAGGCCAACTGCCTCACCCAGCTGCCAGATGTGGTCTGTGAGCTGAGCCTCCTGAAGACTCTGCATGCCGGCTCCAATGCCCTGCGTGTGCTGCCAGCCCAGCTGCAGTGCCTCCAGGAACTGAGGACCATCTGGCTCTCAGGCAACCTGCTGACAGACTTCCCCGCTGTGCTCCTTCACATGCCCTTCCTGGAGGTCATTGACGTGGACCGGAACAGCATCTGCTATTTCCCCAGCCTAACCCACTTGTCAAGTCTGAAGCTGGTCATCTATGACCACAATCCCTGCAGGAATGCACCCAAGGTGGTCAAAGGCGTGCGCCGTGTGGGAAGATGGGCAGAGGAGACGCCAGAGCCTGATCCCAGAAAAGCCAGGCGCTATGCACTGGTCAAGGAAGAAAGCCAGGAGACGCTGGTACCTGCCTTGCCTCTTCCACTTCCTTCTCCCAACTCCTGAGGAGCTTCTGTTGTCAGTTAATGCCAAGGACCCAACTCCAGAGTCTTCCGTAGACCTCTCTACTGAAGTGCAAAGCATTGCTCTGGGACATTTGGGGTGCCTCTGTCAGCAAGGGATGAGTCAGATGAAATGCTTAAAGCACACCAAGAAAAGTTTCTGGTCAACCTCTCTCCCAAAGGGCGTTGTGTGCAACAGGTACCATGACTTCTTCACAAGAAAAGTAGCCTCTCCAAGCAGCTGTTTCCAAACGCTGAAGAGCAAGAAGGGCTGGGACATTTTGGCCTCCTCCACTCTCCACAAGTGTCTGGTCATGAGGCTCATAAGCTCAAATAAGGTATTTGCCACAGAACTCATCAAAAAGTCCAGCCTTTGCAGAACATATTTCTTTACTATAAATGACTAGAATAACGTATTACTAACTTAAGCCACTTAAAAAGGACATTTCTATGTAGTCAGATTCACAGGAAAACTGTTGCTGCAAAGGCTCAAGATGAAGTTTCCCCTCCATTTAGTAAATGCTGAGAAGACCCCTGGTGGACAATGCCTCCTGTGGAGTCCAGCTGCCACTTTGAACTTGACAGTGGCTCCCTAAAGGATTTGCCCTATGGTTTGCTCTCAACGGTTTATGTTACTGACAATGCTAGAAATCATCTAGAAAGGAGACATGTCTTTGGCAATGGATCTCATTAAAATTAAGCCTAGTTGTAATCCTGACTGCCAAGAGCCATTCTGTTTATTCACAATAATGAAGCAGAGCTAAACTGAATGTCCTTCCATGGAAGGAAACCACCTTTCCAGAGTTCTATTAAGTTAGAGGTAGTAGCTGAGAAATTGTCCACTTCAAACAAGTATTTGGAAATTTGAACTGCAAGTTGTGGTTTACATAGGAAGCTTCTGCCTCTAACCTCAGGATCTCAGCCTTTGTTCTACTATTTTGGTTTAAGTAGGGTCATTCGATGGTGTGTATAAACCTAGATATTTTTCAGCTATTATTTTTTTTTTAAGATTGTGAATTGTGACCTTTTCTTCTTCCCATGAATGGATCAACTTTAAAGAAACTGTCAGTGGGTGACTTAATGACATAATCCTGTTCTTGAACCTTTTCAGCAAATAAGAACAGTATCATCTTAACTAAAACATACTGTATTTAACTTTTAAAAAGCACTTTTCCATAAAAGCACCACAGCCCAGCAGACTTATTTTCATGTGTTTCTACAATTGTTTCTTGCTATAAAGTTTCTTATCATGTCTTCCTATTGCCACCTGCCAGTCTATAGTGCACATGCAAACCACTGAATAGACTGCCAAATAGTCCCTTTAATCATTAAATGTAATAGGTTGTCAAATATTTAATCTCTTTATTAACAAGTCCAGGTTTCGTTAGACAGCTAGAATTTATAGTCTATTTTCTCATTCCTAATGATTGAAACTAAACTATACTCAGTTGATGCTTACAGAACCACATTCTGAGCTGTATTTATAGCCAGCCTTACAGATGGCTCTAACTTACTTTGGATCCTGTCTTACCCCTTCCAAGATTAAGGGACCTACCTTTTCCAATATAGCTGCAGCTATAGCCACAAAACAGAGTGAAGCCAAACAACCTATAAAGAGTTCTCATCTAATGAGCTAACTGGTCTGAATCAAATGTCAAATTACATACATTTTGGCACACAGTCAAGCTCTTCTAAAGTAATCAATATGCAACAAAAAAAACTTCTCAATATGGTTAAGTGCACCCCACTGATTTTACTATCCAAAAACTACTATGCGATTTCAGTTTTATGAACTATGGAAATACCTACTTACATATTCATAACCCTTTGATGTTTTCTTGAAATTGACAGAATTAAAAAGTTAAGAAGGGGAAATTGTTGAAACACCAAATGTAACTATTTGACTCATTTTTAAAACTCCAGAAGCCAGGTGTTATGCATCATAGGAAAATCTCTTCCAGACGTGTGCACAGGATTTCAGCTTCCATTAATAATGAATGATGCCAACTAACATCTTTAACATGGATTCTTTGGAAATGAACCAAGTTTCCTTTTTTCTTTGTCCTAAAATACAGTATCACTAAGTTTGTAATTTCACACATAAAAAAGTGGGCTTGTGCCCTAAATATCAACTACCTTGATTTTAACCAAAAACACATATACATATAGTAACATGGAGGCAGAACAATGGTTTACCATAGTTCTTCAAGTGGCATTTGTATCTCAGCTTTGCCATTCACCAGTCATTTACCATCTATGATCCTCAGTATCCTCATCAGTAAAATGGTTTCTACCTCTCAGGGCACTGTAAGGATTACACAAATTATTTGTATAAAGCACACAGAACAGTGCCTGGCAGGTGACAGCTAATGTGCACATGATACGTTCTTTCACTAAATGTTACACCATATGGCACAATACTTATATTTACCCTACAATCAGTATAAATTCCTTGCTTGAAGGGAAAAATGGCAATAAAAACCTCTCTCAACAAAATTTCCAACAGTATCCACAGTCTTGAATGTAAGAACTCTTAACTGCAATGTAGTCAAATGTTTGACTTAACCTAAATAGGAAAATGTTACACAAACATGGCTACCAAGGATTCATTTTAAAGTTTCTAAATGAAAATACTCTGCCATTTCCCTGTTATTCTAGAATTTGCAAAATCAAAGTACTTGAAAATGTGATCTATGTCATGAGAGGTAGCAGGCATGGGCCAGATGACATGGGTGTATCTTGCTTACACATTTTACTGTCTTCTGTAAGACAGTAAAAAAATTTAACACATATACTTTCTAATCATACTACTAGAAAGAAGGTATTGCTATTAAAAAATAAGTTTACATGGTTTTTCTCCCCCTGGACTGTTCACTTCTGGAGAAGAAGAAACAAATATTTATCTTTGAATTCCTAGAGCCTAGTACAATTGGATGTTAATCTGAATTTTGAAGATTTTTTATTATGCATTCAGCCCAAAGGACAGATGGACAGACTGACACCTAAGAAACATTTCTATAGGTCAGCTACTGTCCTCAGGGTATTGTGTAAATTATTTCATACAACCTTTTCACCTTTTTAAGAGGTGTTATGTGCTGCTCACAATTTTGACAGGAAATCTGAAATCAGGTTTATCGTTATTCTTTATATTAAGAATCTGAAATATTGTACAGTAATTCTGTGATTAAAACAGGTGAGGTTCGTTTCACACTTCTACTGACATTCTAACATCAATCTGGAGTAGGTGTAAGAAAAGCAAACTTGGAAAAGGATTTTGTACAGAGTATTCTGTTGCATATTCTGACTTTTACCAGTGTTGGGGGGCAAGGAAAAGTACTCACCCCATGCAGAGAGACTTGAAATAAACTTGAACAATTATGGGGGAGGGAAATGAAGGAAACACTGAGGGCCCCAAACACACCCAAGAGCAGCAGCTGACACCACTGTAAGGCCAACGAAAAGGGGAGAGTGCCACCCAAATCCAGGAAGAGCTGAGAGCCACAGAGCGGCTCCCCAGTGAAGACGTAATGGCAGGTCTCACGGGGATGCGGACACTTCCAAAGACAAAGAGCAAAGCAGGAAGAAAATACAAACTCCCTCTCCTCGTAGCCCACCAGCGCCTCTTGAGGTAAACCACAGGAAACCTGTGCACAGGGAGCTGTGAGGCAGCCAGCAGGGATAAGCCCCATGGCCTCTGAGCGGGCCAAGAGTGGATCCCGGCTGAAGCAGAGTTAAAGCATTAATGACCAGCACGCATAACGTTATCCTTCCCAGAACTGAAGGCTACCGAGGGCAGATTTAAATAACCAACCATATCCACCCTCTTTAGGAGAACATTACCCTAAGCACTTAGACAACTTTCTGTGCAGTAACTTACATACATTACAAATCTCTATTCCTATGTCACGAAAAGTCTTGTGAAAATAAAAACTCACTGCTTCCATATTTGCTCTGAGTTAAGAGAAACTCCACCCTGAAACTGTTAAGAGGAATCTGAGGAGCCTAGGTTGGTACTTCACTTCTGAAACTAAAAATATAATTAACAATTGTTAACTCGGGATAGTCTAGGCACATGACAAACCTGTAAAGGGCTGCAAAGGCTATGAACTCTGAGAGGGAGAGACCCATGCGTGTATTCTTCATACAGCAATTAAGCTCCCACATTTCTACCTCTTGGTAGGTTAACAATACTGGTATATCCTTTTTAAGACCTTTGGAAAAATGTGTCCAAGCACACTTTTAGATTAAGATCCTACTCCACAGCTGTCTCATCACTCAGGATAGATGTTTAAACCCACCTCTCCCACTGAAGCCTCTGTAGGTTTTTTGGTTATGATATGCTTACCTGCTCCACCTACCTGAGCTGTGGAACGAAGCTGATGTTACAATGTGTGATAAACTACTTTAAAAAAAAAAATGAAACAACAAACATTATTCATGTTTCTAAAATTTAAAACAAAATCATTATAATTCTCTTCAATCATCTCAGGAAAAATTTCTCCTTTATGTGAATGTTAAGAGGATATAAACCAGTATCACAAAGAGAACCAAACATCCCAGTTTTAACAGCTTCCACGAAGTAATATTAAAATGTTGAAACAAACTTTTATACAGAAACATCAGTATTTCTTTGGAAATCCTTTTGTTCCTCTGTGGAAATGAAACATCTCTCCATGACACTAGCAGAGATAAGTGTAACACTCACACTACTGCTGGGCTTTCTATTCTCACATTCTGCTACATACTGATGCGTTCATAACCTCCAAATCTGAATTCTCCCTTAAACCACCAAACTCAGTGCATACTTTATGCCAATTCTCATTCTCTTTTGAATCCATTTTCTAAAAACAAAACCAAAAAACCCTTACAGAATAGTAAATAATGCTTGTGTCTGGCCATATCAATCTTCTTTAAGAGAACATTACCCTATAAGCATCAGAGGTGCTAGAAGCAGCTTGCAACAACCAGCACTTAAAATACAACTCTGACCTTGAAGTATAGAAGCCATGATTTTCTCCTACACAACATTAAATGAGTACTAAAATTTATGGTACTTCCATTAAACAAAATTAAATGGTTAAAAAAGGTTATGTAGGATTGAGAACCAAAATATTAATTTGTTTATCACATCTGACTTGGACTTATATTAAGATAATTACTTCATAAATGGATAAGATCATTAGTTAAGCTGGAACAACTCAGTACTAAAAGTCATTCACTCCCATTAAGCAGAGTTAAAACAGAGTACAAATCACTAAGACAGGTAAGAACTAAGTAATTGCTCAAACTTTTATTTTGATGCACAGTATGAGAAATGTAATTAAACTGAACTTTATGGAAAATGAAACAGCAAATAAATTAGACCCATGTTAAAATAGAAGGTCAGTTAAATGTCCAAACGAAGGATACATCAACCACAGATAAACTTCGATTCTAGTCTTAAGAGGCCAAAGTCTTTCAAACACAACTTTGATATTAATGGTCCAGAGGTGAACAGCATACAGGAATGCTTAACAGGGGTGGTGATCAGGAACACGTTTCCTGCAAGGATTATAAAACATACACTTAAGAAAAAGGGCAATGCTGAAAATGAAAAGCATGACTGGAACCAAAGGTTTATATCAAATACAAATACAGCTAGATTCCTAATTTTATTAAAATCATTATAACCAATTCTCTTTAACAAGAATGTTTCTACCTCATAACAAACATTCTTCAATTCTTATTGTATTGGTATGAGAACCTTACAAGATTGTGGAAGCCTGTAGGTATTTAGCAGTTTCAACTTCTCATCCAAACCACCTACTTAATAAAGATGTATTCTCCAGAAAAGGGTTAATTCATGTTTTCAACTACTATATATGTCAGGGAATTTTACTGTATTAGTCAAAGGAGTTACTCTTAATCAGAATTTGTAAAAGGACAAGGCTTTGGGGCCTCTAGAGGAAAATTTCTGGATTACTTTTCTAAGTGAATGAGAACAAATGCCATTA